ATGGTTAAATTCCTGCTACAGTTAAATGGGATTTAGTAGCAGTTAATGAGCATTTTAGATTTTTAGATTAAAACACTTTTTATTTAGATACATTTTTCTTAAAAATAATGGATCCAACACAATCGGATTTTAATGGAATAAATAAAGTGTGAAGATTTTTCATTTTTTCAAAGATAAGGTCATTTGATTACTAATCAATCTAAACCTATTACATTAATATTTTAATCTAATCTAAGTATTATCCATAAGTCATATGCTTTGTAATGAAACACTAAATAAATTAATAAGAAAACTTAATTAGAATGGGATTATATAGAGTATGGCAACAACCAAATATGTCACATTAACAGTATATAATTGGTTAATGAAAAGGCAAAAAGAGGAAGAGGCGAGAAAATTAGTTTAAAGGCTGCTAATATTAATTATGCTAATTGCAATGCTTGGTTAGATGGTTATACAGGAGCAAGTAGTGCATGTGAAGTAATTCTTCATCTTGAATTAGTTCATACACTGAAACAAAATTGTTATAAATGGTAATCATATTGCATTAATGATTCTCTTAATAACTGTATAAGTACACGCACTTGTAATAATTATGGAGGTAATATTACTACATTTGATCATTCTAATTGTAATAATTGGTTATCAATTATACATTTACTTATGAAACTAAGAAATGTACTAATAGTAATATAACTTCATGGATGTATCGCTAATACTTTAAGCAAATTGTTAGGACTTGTGAAAATGCAATATCTAATATAATACTTTTAATTATACAAATTGTTCTAGTTGGTATAGTTCTTACACATACAATAAGGCTGGTACTATTAATCCTGGAACTAGTTGTATTGAATATACTTGTGCTTATGCATAGTTAACTTCTTATAATCATACTAATTGCTCGAATTATAATAGTATACAATTAGTATTCTCATTCTGATTGTTCTGGATGGCTATCATCTTGCACTATTAATAATTCAACAACTGGATGTGAAACAACTTATTCAAATGTATCATACACTTAATCCATTAATTAATGTTATAGTTGTACAAATACTTGGATGCCTACTTGTGAATTACATAGCTCAAATACTTATTTTGTCGATAAAACTTGTCTGAGGATCATTATCGCCTGCAAATTGTAGCAGCTATTTAAGTGAATGCCACTTATTATGAAAATTATAACAATAAATCATCTTGCATTTCTGCTTTTAGAACATTACTGGTGCTATGTTTACAGCATTCTCAATTATACAACATGTAATTCATGGAAATCTGATTGAGCATTCAGCGTATCTGGTAATTATGGCTGTAAAGCATATTCTAATTATGCTAGTGAAAATTAAACTTAT